TTAAATGCTACTTTCATTAAAAATCTTAGAAATTTGTAATTTGTACATTTGAAATCGACTCTCTGTTTTCCTGCAATAATGACTTCTCCTAAATCCTAAAGGGCTTAAACCCAGGTATGAATCAAACAAGCTCATACGGATAAAAAAGTCCCACCCTATTTATTTGAAAAGGTTATGTAAGTTTATTGTCACAGCGTACAAGTTCAAATAAAGACTAGCCTATAATGTAAAGTATTGTGTATCCATACATTTAATTCGTTTTTTAATAATCAACGAGCTTAAATTCAATTCTGACAAGCTTAAATTTAAGTTGCAAATGAAAATGGTGATATTGGTGACAAGGAATTCGTGAAAAATTTCAAAATAACTAAGACAAGCGATACTTTTGTTCCAGATACGTTTATATTGTTATGGTTTTCATTAAAAATCGCTTGTAATAAGGACAAATAAATCAGACTTCTGAGATTTATAACTGTAAATGTTTCTTATGACGATGACTGAGAAAAGAACGTAAAGAATGTAAATCAAATTAATAATTCACGTCAAGCAATGAACAAACCAAAGGAAAATCATGTTTGATTAAAATACGGAAACAGTTGATGATCAGTTTATATCTTTCCTTTTAAATATCAGCCACTATGCTATACTTTAGACCAGGGCGATTCTAATTAAAGTGTTAACTAGCCTATCATTTCACGTGTCGAAATAATTTGTGATATTAGTAAAATAATTCGTGATTTGGGCTGCAGTCAAACAAATCATTAAACCTAATTCTATCCCGAGCAACGCTTCTTTCAGAAACACTTGTAAAAACAAGTCACTGATCCAAAACAACAAGCTCCCTTAACAGTTCAATTAGATGACGTGCGTCTTTCATAACACTGATGAAAAATGTGCTGTGGGTCAGTGATATATTCTGCTGAGAGCCTGCCTAACAATTTTGACCATTCTGAACAGGCCACACATTAGAAATCGTAAGGAATTACGGTTTAAGCACACTAAGAGGGTTTAAGCACACTAATATACATACAACGTACACTTATATAACCGTAGAATGTAATCTCCCATATGATTTTATAGTAACGTGGATTTAATCAATTACAGAAGATCTGTTAAAACAATCACTTTGAGTGAGATGTAGGGCATTATTTAACCATTCCCAGTAGAGTGTCAAAGGGAATTAGCATATTTATAAGGTAATTCTTTAAAATGAAAATGAACACTTAGAAAACAGACCAGCCTTTCCCACAGGAAAAAATGTCACCTGTCCTATGTGTGTAAAGTCAAATAAATTTAGCATTTAAACCGTCGCATTTAGGCAGGTTCTTCACTCCCGTTACAACGATTGGTGCAGGTGTATTTGTATTGTCAGAAAGCAACTTTGTTTTGGTTGTCAAAAAATTATCCGAAAAAGAAGAAAAGAAAAAACGTAGCCCACTGCAAGCCTGCTTTGTCAGCCACATGGTCAAGTCGTTTTCCGCACAGCAGGCTACGGCAGAATAGCCTTTATTCCGTTAATTTCTCTCGGTCTGTGTGTCCTTGGGCAAATATTCAAAATATGAATGAAGAAGACTTGGATGTATTTAATACACTCTGATTCGATGACCTTTCGCAAGCCATAACCACGGCGACGCGAGATATTATTATTAGCCTACTGAATTCTATAATCATTATTGTATCGACTAATGTTGAAACCAGTCACTTTTTAAATAAACAATAACGATGTGTCTCTGAACAACGCGAGAGTAGCGAAGAACGAAAATTTCGAAATTTACAGGCTTGTTTTTTTATTCTTTTCGCTGTGGAATTTGTGACAACAGGCCATGCTATATATATATATATATATATAAAAGGTACTTTTTAAGTATTCTCCCAGCTAACCTCAGCTGTGAATGTCTTTATCGATATAAAAATCGACTAAATTAGGCTATTACTAAGGTTTAAACGGGTAAGAATGCGAGCAAGTTGAGGAAAAGCCGATGCCGAGAAAAAGAGGAAATGCAGGGTGTAGGTGAGGGTAGAAAATAACCAATAAAACAATACCCTCAGACATGAAACTCATTTTGCCGACTGCGCTGTGAGCTATACAACAGTTGCGTGGACATAAATGATAAAATACTGGAGCTGTCTCGACATGTTTGAGTAAGAACAGAAGCGTAATTGACAGCTCTTAAAAATATGGCTCGCAAACGTCTCGTCATTGCACGTGCTATTGGCGCCCCCGCTCGGGCGGGAACGTTTGGAGAATTTTCTCTTAAAGGGGAGGACACGAGGATTTAAGGTGGAATGAAGAAATAGCACCCAGCGATCTTGACCCCCGGTAAACCATGATTCTAATTAAATAATGAATGGATATTAGGCTTATTTCTCCCAAGGCAGAAGAGCTTTATTTTGATGATGGTAAAAATTGGCTTTCCCTAAAACTGCCAAATATACTCGTTAAGGCAAAGCTGGGAAAACAAACTCTCTTCTTTTTCATAGGCCTTATAAAATATGATAAAATAAAATGAAAAAAAGTTTTTACAGGAAGCGGTTTCCGAAGTCCATGCATGTAAATGTTATATTGCATAAAATATGCTCTATTCATAAAATAAGGAAATAATTGTGTTGGAAAAATGAAGAAACTGAGGTTTGGTTTTTCGGCGTATAATTCCGTTATTTAGCCTATTTGTTTGTTAAATTTTCATATCTGATGTTTTCTTCTCTTATTTCATTAATTCATGTTATTGACCTATGGGACGCATTTCGTATTATAGGCTACTAATATGGTTCTAACTATAGGCTTCTTAAAGAGAAGGCGCAAAACAAATGAAGTGAAAACACAGTAAATTTCCGATTGTAGCAGTCGGTGGACTTTTGATGGAGAATGTTCAGTAGCTACATACTATTCTCCCAAAAAAACAAAATACGTTCTCACAAAACGGGTTTATGTGAAGGTTACTGAAGAGGTAACATTATTCCTCCTGTGGAACTGTGGAAAAATAGAAGCATGCAAGTCATCTCAAGGAGCCGAAGAAAATGGTGAATAATGGAGGAGACGTAGACTATAGCATTAACCTTATGCTTTCATCCGAGAAAAATAAAAACCTTTCTTGGTGTGGAAGTCCTCCAGAAATAGATTGGCCTACAGAACAGTGTTAATTAAGCATGAAGCCTGGCATATGTGATCTTTTCTATTACCCATTCCCCCTATAGTCCCCGTGGGCCATTCATCAAAATGTTGGTATCTGTCAGTCATACCTACATTTTTTTAAATAAAGATAATGCATCAAGGAAGAGGAAAGAGAAGTTCTCAGACCAGAGGCTAACAGATGTGAAATCGATATTTGAACACTGGTTATTGAGTACTGGAACAAAGCTAAAAAAGAAAAACTGAAAAAATAAATAGAAACAAATGTAGCAAGAAAATATATATGGAATAGTTGGTGTTAAATTCGACAGTACACTGAGTAATGGTGAAGGATTCGTTTAAGTTGCAGCTTATTATTTACGCAGGATCTACTTGTCACATCAATAACGAGGCTTAGAAGAGCAGGCCTCAAAATTTAAGTTCACGAGGGAACGAGTTAACGATGCTTTATTGTTTTGAGCAATTAACTGTTTCCGAAACTGTGCCCTGAACAAGCGAGTATTTAGAATTTAGAAGAACTCGTCTATTATCTAAGAAACGGGTGTCGATGTGACTTTTGACCCTGGCCTTTAAAAATCGCATAGCTAATAGCTTATGTTATAGTGTCGAATTTTACGTTCTCAAATTCCAGTTTAGCGTAGGCCTACTATTTAATTAAATTATCCCCGTGCCCACCTATAACCTGCTGACCAGGTGCTGAATTTGTGACTTGGGTGGTGAGAGGAGTAAAGTCTTGAGAGTCTACACTCTCAGCTGTTGACTTCTTAAACACATCACTAACATCCAAGAGTCCAGAAGAGTGTTCATGCACGAATTTTTCATGTTCCCATTGTGCAGAAATATAAGCTGTCTGACCGCCTACTACATTCGCTGAGATTGGTGTTACTATCAGTCCAGATTTCTTCATTAAACTGTTTAAACAGAATGTTTAACATGCTTTAGAAGACATCATTTATTATCTACAAACGAATTGGCAACAGGATGTTCATTTGAATCAACAATGAGCGCTCACCCCGAGTCATTGCAACACTTTTACAATGAACAGGCCTGTGCAGGCTATGGACTTCATTCGAGGCAGACGCCATATATATTGTTTTTAGCGAATGAAAGATAAACATACAAACCACTCAACGTGCTGGACTGTGTAAAGCTCCCACATCACGTCCGTTTCATAATATATTTTCCGGAATTTTGACGCCAGTTTTTTTAGACGCACTTTCAATGTTGCTTCAGGTGAATCATGATCCAGGTAGATCCCGCGCAGCCTACTTTTCATTCGAGAATAAATTAAATATGGCGTCTACTCGGAGTAAGGTCAATTAAGCTATACTCCTTTATTAAATATAATAATAATCTGCCCGTATATACAGACTTGTGTAATTTAATTTCATAATTTGTTAATTCCGTGCGCTTTTTGTACTTCTCTTTAATTGTGTTCAGCTTATTTTTGTCTGTTTCGAGTCCAGAAGGCAAATGTTTTTTTTTTTAAGTGTTTTACATATAAGCAATAAATGTTTATTGAGTAAACTGTAAAATGGAATGCATTCTACTGATTAAGCTTTTATAAAATGAAAGCCAATTCTCTGCGTGACTCAGAAAATACCATATAAACATTATTAAAAGTGCAAAAAACATGACGAGACGTTGCACCGTAAATTGCAGACAAAGTGCTTTATTGTTTTGAGCAATGCATATGGAATGGAGTGTATATCGGTTTAAATCATAACACGAGACAGCCGCCCCTTTGGTTACTCTCAAAAACAACTTTTATACTCGTATTTGTGAGTGTGATGCAGATAACCAGCGCTTCCCAATCACTTCTATTACCTTCACTATCTAGATTATAACATTTCACAAACGAGGGGATGTTTTTCAGTAAGCGTGTAAACCTGCATATCCCAATAAAATCCATCCGTTCGCGGCATTCATAAATGCTTAGAAAATAAAAATCGAATTGCTAAAAGTACATTATATTTTCCCCCCAAAGCTTATGTGATGAGTTATCCATCAATGAACACATTGAGCAAAAAAATGCTTTTGGCAAATGAAGAACATGGTGGAGGGCTTTTTTTAAGAAGGCGTGAAGTGAGCTGTATCTTACTGTAGCACTTTTCACATTTAGTGAAATTCACATATATATATATATAAAGATGCGTGTGAATCCAGTATCAGAAGCTGAAGCGATGCTCTGATGACACTATCAAAGTCTGCCGCTAAAACAGCCTCTTTTGTCATGCCCATGGTGCTGTTTTTGTTGTTGTGAATATTACAACCAATAAGACCAGGGTGTGTTTTCATCCCAATGAGAACAATAAAAAAATGCTTATTTTCCCATTGTGCAACGGTTTCCCAAGGGCACAAGCAGCGCTCAGTTTATTAAGAAAATGAAACACTAACCAAGGACGCTGTAACATTGGTGCCGGATAATACTTCCAGATAAAAATGCTTGGAGAAAGCCTGAACACAATTTACAATTAACACTATAACAAGAGCCACACCTACTCATATCAACAAATTCACAATGCACACTCTTGTCCAAAAGGCTTTGCACATAGAATTAGCCAGTCAAGGAGAAATTGTGACCTTTTGTGTTGTGTTGTTGTGAACAGAAAATGCAGTGTCTTCTATCGGTTTGAAGCAACAGCACATTTTGAAACATCAAAACACTTAAAAAAATTTTTTTTCCAACAACCACCCTATTAGAAAATATTATTTTAGAGGGGAGAAAAAAAGATAAAAAAATAAGGAATTAAATAATTTGGAGTAAAAAGGCACGACTCTTGCACAGTGTATACATTGAAAACACAGTATATAAAGCAGGTATGGGACCATCTTAAAAAACAGACCTGGGGTGGGGGATGGGGGTTTAGGGCAAGGGGGAAAAAAATTAAATAAAAATATGACCAAGCATGGAATATACACCATCTCTGGACTAAACCAGACTGAACACTAAAAATAATGCAACATGCATCTTTTTTCCTTTCTTTTTTACACAGTACTTGTGTTGTATGATTTAAAACAGTAACATTCTTCATTTATCAGAACGCTTTTACCGAATCACGGAGTGGTGCTTTACAATTCTGGTGGATTAATATTCAATGAAAAAAAATATGTGCAAGTGATCAAAAAGTCTAAACAACATAGGACAAGGCGGCTTTTTTGAATTAGAAAAGTTGAACAAATGTTAATCTCTAAGTCATATTACCTGCATCTAATTCAATGCCATTTACAAAAGTATTCTCCTCTGTTACAGGTATTATGTTTCCCTTGTAAATACCACTGCTGAACCAACAGGATTCCGTGAACATTTTGGTTCCATTCATCATGTGCAAAATATACAACATTTTATCTATTTTGCTGCCAATTTGAACGTTCAAAAGAATTTCGAACAAAACGCACGAGACGTATACACAATTTCATGTTTTAAAATGAATAAGAAAAAAGAATACAACAAAGCACCCCTTCCCCAAACCTCCATGGAATACTGAAACAACACAAATCGGTGTGTCCTGGTACGATGCAAGAGGTAAACTATGTTTTGTCTGTTGAGAACAAGCGTATGCGTGAGAACCCATGAAACGGCAAGTCTGCGTTGAACAGTGCCTCATAGTGCTATCGTTGCAGCTTGTAACAGACCGAGTGAACCTAATAAAAAGTGCAACAGTTTAAGGTGCTGATGGCAACTGAATCACTAATGTAACAGAATTCACTGATGACCGAAGAGAAACCACTGATCCTGCTGCTTCAGTGTCTTCATTCTCCCTCCAGTCAAGTTGCTGCAAAACAAAACTAAAAAAAAAAATAAAAAAAAGACCTACCGGAACCTTCGCCACCGTTTCAAACGCGTTTGCCTCAGAACACTGAAGGAACCTGCAAAACAGTCAAATTCAGCTGTCTGTCCACACAAGGCAAGTTAGGGTCCTCCTTTTGTAAATGGCTCAAAGAGCGTTTCTGGTTAGTCTGCCCAGAGAATGAAGAGGCTCGCGCGAGTAAGGAGAGTTAGCAGGTGCCGTGGTGTCAAGTGCTTCAGGTGCCTTTCCGTGAAGCCGTTGACCCCGGTGGAGTAAAGCAGAGCGGGCAGTCAAGGGTTGCGTGAAGTGAGTTCAGCTAGGGATTTGATGAATGATTCAGTAAGAGAACGATTGAGAAGTTGTGTTTCGGCCTCCTTTTTTCAGAGACCTAATTCTACTAACTGAGCCACAGACCAGCACATGAGCTCTCTTTCCTCTCTCCGTCCTCTTCCACTTTAAAAGGCAAGAAAAATGTCAAATGGAACAAACAAGATTAAGGGGCATGCATAAGAAAGCAGTAAAAAGCCCTATCCCCCCAAAAAAAGTTATAACTGTTGTCCTTTTCCATCACTCCCTCATGGTCCCACAAAACAGAAAGACGAATAAATGTAAACGAATGGTTGTTGTAGCTGCTGTAGGGGTGCCCCCCTGTGGCAGAGCGGGCGAGTGAGTGTTCAACACCCCTCTGCAGGCGTCCCTCTTCATCCCTGTGGACTCAGCTGCCTCGGACTAGGGCAGAATGGTAGTGATGAAATCATAGAATCTCTTGGAGTACTGCTCTGGGTTCACGGTGGAAATCTCTGCCCCAGCCTAAGATGAAAAAAGCATGAGGTCGATGCCTTGATAAAAGCTATAAAAGGTTTCAGTCATGCATACACTTTAGAGCATAAATGATGAATGAGATGCTTGGGAGAAATACGCAAAGTTGCCCTCTGTACTGTACTCCTGGTACAAGTTCAAAAATGTAGTGGTAATTTTAGAAGTATTTTTTCATTATTTTTTCATGTTTCTTCTATCCAACCATACACTGACAAAAAAAAAAGTTTGAATGTTTTTTGCAGAAAAAGAAACTTTTTAATTAACCATATACTGTGCAAGACTGTACATGGTTTAACATACCAAAAGATTATAAAAATTGTTTTTTGGAAGTAAAAATTACGAATTGTTATATAATTTATGGTGAACAGTGAAAAGACAAGCCCAGAAGTCCCTGTGGGACACATCACACATAATTATATTTTATAATATAAAAACTATATAAAATAGTTTTGTTTCTTCATATTTTTGTTATCAGTCATGTACATTAGAGTGTTTCGTGTTACATTTTCTGTTGGTTAGTTTATATTTATTGCATTATTTTTTAATTATGTGTGAGATTTGTGTTACATTTTCTGTTTATTTAATATGTGTGTTTTGTGTTACATTTTCTGTTTGTTTAGTTTATGTTTATTGCATTATTTTTAAATTATGTGTGTTACCCTGATTGTTTTTTGTCTTTGAGTGTATGGACCCTGTGCACCGCCTACACATGACTATTGGTCATAGTCATCATGTGGCATTCTATTTTACCACCTGCATTATTATGGTAGTAACTGGTACACTGTAAAGTAAAAAGCAGATTTTGGTAGTTCAAGTACATTAGTTTACTAACATTATATAACTTGAAGTTACATAATGTCAATATTGAAGTTACCTGAAGAATGAAATACATGGTAATAAGTTGTATATACGCACCAATATGCCATGCCGTAATACTGGAAACACCGTCACAGTGTTTTTATGGTGAATTTCTGGCAACCACGGTTGCCAGTTTTTTAGAGTAAATTTAGCAGAATAATTTTACAGTGATATAACTCTGAATATTAAGAAAAATGACATTTAAATTAGTAAATCAAAGCACTCACCCCATGCTTTACTGTCTTGGCTGCATGAGCGGCCTTTTTCTTGGCATCATAATGCTGCAGGATGTCAATAACAGCCATAAAATAGACCTCCTTTCTGGGAGAATCTGGAGGAAAAAGTTACATTCATCATTTATGAAAACAGAACTTGCAACAAATTTTCATAATGTGACATATTGCAGAAAAAGTGGGATGGGTCTTAGCTTATCAATCAAGAATTGATTGGATTGTGGAAGGTGCCCATTACGTACCAGAATGGAGGCAGAACGGAATGTTTGATTATTAAAATTATTTTCACCACCTACCTCTCTTGATGACATCAACGTATTAAATTTTAATAAACGCTTTTATTTTAAGAATATCATGCATGGATGAATTGTTCACAATAACCACAGGGACATGCATTAAAAGAGGAAACGGGGCCAATTTTGATTTCATGCTGACTTTAAGGTTTGGTATATAGTATATATATGTTCAAAAGTGTATTTATCATATACAGTGAAATATATGCACAGAACCCATTTCAATAAGACAACACATATGCTTCCTGCCCCACTCACTGTCATGGCTTTTGATGGCATAGACGTCAATACTGGGGTCGAAGTCTCCCGGCAAGAGTGGTTTAGCGCTGTCCAGAGTGTTACTGGGACTGTCAGGAGGAGTGCCGATAATGCCTCCATCACTCTCTCCTTCCTCTTCTCCTTCATTATCTTCACTCTCCACCTCCTCTTGTTCTGCCCTTTCCACATCATGGATCCCAACCAGAAGACTGTAGTCCATTAGCTTTAGCAATGCAAGGAACTAGACAGAGATGAGGGAGGAAAAAGACAACAGATTGATAGTAGAGAGAAAGAGGAAGTGACAAAGTGAGTATTCAAGATAAATGAGTCATTGTATCCGTAGCAGGCAGACAGAGTGAAAAAGCGAATTCTTCTCAATCATTTACCTCCACGTCCTTTCGTAGCTTATCGAGGAAGGTTTTCTTACTCTCTTCATCGATGTATATTTTCTGTCCATCGTTGATGAAGTCATTATCTTTGAACGTGGGGAGTTCTTTAGCCTGGTGGAAAAGAGGGAAACAACATTTAGTGTGTTAAAGAAGCTTACTTACACTTGCAGACACTTTTAAGAGCTTCAAAAGAGGTTGATCATTAACATCAAAATGAATTCAGGTCCTGACATGCTGGTCATGTCATGTAATATCACAGGGCGCAGCAGGGGGTGCTCTAGTTTCATTAGAAAAAGCCTGTTTGGCATGTTCAGCTGCATGTACCCTCAAATGAACAAATGAGGCAACAGCTTAACTAGCTGCTGATCTACATTTGTGTTTAGAGATATTCAGAATGGCCTACAATTGAAATGAGCTTTCATATACAGCGTTAATTACGCTGCACTGACATCACAAAAATCAGCTACAACTCAATATGAACTCAGCTGTAAGTAATTACTCACTATTCAATAATTAAGTAATACATTTTTATGGCTCGCTCAAACTATTGAAAAGGAATGCAGGTCGAAATATTTCCTCTGGGGTGATTTAAACCTCCAGAAAGAACCGACTCCAGCAATTCTGCGTAGTTTATTTGGTATCCTTGCTCCAGACTCCAGTAAAAAACTTATTAATGGACTTTAACAACCTCTTACCATTTGCAGATTTCCCAACTTTGAAAAGCAAACATCCACCTATAATATCATTGTGAAATCTAGGGCATAGATAGCCGAAGTGTGCCCTGTTAATGGGTTGAAGAGCATTAGGAATAGGTTTGGTCGAGGAAAGCACTGTAAGTGAACAGACATCTATCTATGGGAGGGCACTGATTAAATGGTTTGCATCCATTAAAGATTAATGCACATTCTTTATTTTTTAACCCCTACCTTCCAAACACCTGTCAAAGAGCCTATTTTTTATTTCATACACTTAATGTCTTGTTTCATTCAGAAATATGTCACATTATAAAAGTAAAATGACTTGTGAATGCTACTTGAAAAGTACCTTTAAGGTGTAGGCAGTGTAGGCAGGCATTGAGCGAAAGGAGAAATTTTTAACTTGCTGGAGGACTGAATCATATTATAGTATATGCCTATTGTTAGTTCATTTGTTTGTTTCGTAATGCTATGACAGCTTCTAATGCTATTTTCATGTTGAAAACATTAAAATAGCAGAAGAAAGAAAAATATTTAAATCTACTTTTAACCATAGCCTCTAAAACAAACAAACAAACAAAACATAGTTAAAAACCTTTTCTAGGGTAACTGCCAGATACCCATGGCTTGAGATGAGAACTCTAAACCGAGAAACAGGGATAATCTGATGTGCGTTTAGTAAAGGAGAAATTTTTAACTTGCTGGAGGACTGAATCATATTATAGTATATGCCTATTGTTAGTTCATTTGTTTGTTTCGTAATGCTATGACAGCTTCTAATGCTATTTTCATGTTGAAAACATTAAAATAGCAGAAGAAAGAAAAATATTTAAATCTACTTTTAACCATAGCCTCTAAAACAAACAAACAAACAAAACATAGTTAAAACCTTTTCTAGGGTAACTGCCAGAATACCATGGCTTGAGATGAGAACTCTAAACCCGAGAAACAGGATAATCTGATGTGCGTTTAGTGAGAAACGGCTCAAGCTTGTTTTACAAGAGTGTTTGACTTACATTTAAGTGAAAAAGTATTTGGGGCTATAAACTTCACAAAAGTATCTCAAAGATACAAGTCATTGTGAGAATAATAAAGTTACACATTTAAGCAAAACCAGAACACATAAATATTTGATTTGCAAATATTTCAGAGAAAGCTACTTCAAAGTCCACATTTGTACCAACACATGTACAGGCACAACAAAACTATCAGAGCATATGTGATGCGATCTAGGAAAACCCAACACATGGTGAAATTTTCCTTTTTTAGGTTTTGATACCATATGAAAGCTGGGTTCAAGCCCTTTCTTTGTTACGTTCAAGCCCTTTTATTTTGTCCATAGCTTGAATGTAACAAAAGTTATGGCTATCTGAATTTGGCTGATAGTTATGATTTTCCGGAATGGAATTTTGAGAAAAACGGGTTTAAAGTGAGACGGGTTTCACTTTCACTTCTACTTAACGACCGCCGTCTGTCAGGAGCGCTATACTGCATCATTACACAAACAGACTATCTAACGTTACCCTGAAGAGGACAGTTTGCCGTTGTTTATCATGGGCATAGTCTCTGAACTTTTGATCCCCCCTTGTAT